ATCCAATCCGCCGGAGAAAAGAGGATGCTTGACCTCCATGCCTTGGAAGAGTTGAGGTTAGATGCATATGAGAGTGCAAAGATCTACAAGGAGAAGACTAAAGCATGGCACGACAAGCACATCAACAAGAGAGAGTTCAAGGAGGGTGACAAGGTCTTGCTATTTAACTCCCGGTTGAAGTTGTTTCCGGGAAAGCTAAAATCAAGATGGAGTGGCCCTTTCACCATTACAAAGGTATTCCCATATGGCGCCATTGAGATTTCCAACGACAAAGGTGAACCATTCAAAGTTAATGGCCAAAGGTTGAAAGCATACTTCGATGGTTTCGTGCAAGAAGAAACAAAGGTAGTTCATTTAGATGAATTTGATATCCCTCGTGATTGAAAACGTAATATGGTCAAGCTAGTGACAATAAAGAAGCGCTTCCGGGAGGCAACCCAAGTATTTTAGTAATTTTTCTTACTAAAAAAAAAAAAAAAAAAATGCCGCTCAACAGTAAAAAAAGGCGGAGCAAATAAATAAAGTCTCAAATTCAAGGGCTTTATCTTATGAAAAAAAAATTTACATTTCCCTTTTGAGGTCAATTTGTGGATGCCTCCCACACCCTTTATCTTTAGTTTCCTCTTGTAAAAATCTCATAGTAGAGTGTAGTGGAGGGAGTTTGTTTGTGCATCTTGGGAGGTGGACTTGTATTTCACTATTTTATAACCGAAAATAAAAATGTGCTATGACTTAGGAATGAGCAAATGTGCTTTAATGAACTAGTAAAAAGCCTAAGGAAGTGTTCCATTGCAATCTTGTTCAGCATCCTTCTTGGTCTCTAACTCATGTGTACATTATTATGATGTTGATTTTTGAATGTTGTTCACTTGTCTTGCTTTTGAATCACATCCCGATGAGTTGACTTGGGCTATAAAAAAAATAAAAATCGTGTGTTGTGTTTGTGGGAGTTGTGGGTGATTCTCTTTGGAAACCCTCACGAGAGATGGACTCGTCCTACTAGGCGACTTGTAGGTTTAAACGGATTCTCACTTTTGCTAAAAGTGATCGTTCGGTTTATTGTGTATGCCTACCCTTTCTTGGTTTAACTTTTGCTTTAACCTTCTATAACAAGTTAGTTCCCTCTATTTGTTTTGTCATGACTAGTTTGCTCGAGGACGAGCAAAAGCTTAGCTTGGGGGGATTTGATAACTTGCTATTTTATGCGGTTTTAGGGCGTATTTGAACCTAGTTTACCTGAACAAATTTGTGTTTTGGTTCACTTTTACCCTATTATTATGCAATTTTTGTGTATCCTATGCTTCACGGGTTGTTAGTGTTTTTGTTGAGATTTTAGGTCCAAAGACGACCAAATGAAGCCCATGGTTACCAAACCGAGGTTAGAAGCAAGGAAATGATGGAAAGAATCCAAGTACAAGAGCATCGTAGAAGAAAACACGAAGAAAAGGGCCCAGAAGACCCTGCACGGCCGTGCAAGATGTTGCACGTCCGTGCAGGAGTGCAGACCTGAACCCATCTTTCTGCCAAGGCCTGCACGGACGTGCCAAATATTGCACGTCCGTGCAGATGATGCAGCACGGACGTGCCAAAGGTGCACGCCTGTGCTGCAGCAGGTCGTCTTAAACTGAGTTTCTGCCTTGGTCTGCACGGACGTGCCAACTTCAGCACGTCCGTGCAGACCTACAGTTTACCCGTTTCTTGTTTTCTCCGTCCTCTTATTTTAGGGGGTAGTATAAATAGCCCCTTTGGACCATTTTAGAGGGGTTCCCAATTTTTTTCCAGATTTTCATACTCCTCTTAGTTTGAAACACAAAAATCCTCAAATTAGCATAGATTTTAGTTCTTGTTTTGAAGGTTTTCAATCCAATCATTGTAGAAGACAAGTTCCACCATTGTTAGTCAATTATTGAAGTTTCTAGTAATTTTTCTTACTCTTTCTTTCTCTCTTCTATCTTTAATTCTTGCTTTTTATTAATTGTTTGGTTGTTCTTTGCATGTTTAATTGTCAGATTCTACTTAATTCTTAGTTTTAATTTGTTCATGAATTCCTTGAAATCTTTAATTGCTTTAACTTCCATGGATTGTGAGTAGTCTAATTTCTAGGGTTTGGGTGAACCCTCAATGTAATCACCAACACTTGTTGCATGTACTAATTTGTTAATTGTGGGGTGTTAATTAGTTGAGTTTAAGAGGTTTCATTGTTAATTCTTGTAATTGGCCATTGCTTGAATTATTTATCTAGCTTCCTCAACGAAGGATCGAGAGATGAACTTGAGGAAGCTCCCTTATGCTTGATTGACTTGATTTGCCATGAGAATAGGAATTTCTAGTCAAGGGAATTTGCATGTTATCGTGAGGATGTTTTAACACTTGTTTCTTGCCCATAATCACGAGAGTAGGTTATGGTTTTGATGTCAAGTAATCCCTCTAGCTTGAGAGAGTAGTTGGGTGCATTTGATAACTTCCCCTAATTTATCCCCTAAATCACCATTTCTATGCATGCTACTTGTGGTCCGTGATGAAGTTGAGTGGTGTAACCCATGCCCTAGGCCTTCTTAATATTGTTAATCACCTCTTAGAATTAGTTGATTTGAATTAGAATAGTGTGACGTAATACCAACTTAAAACCCCCGACTTAATCTAGCTTGTTTAAACAATAACATTTGGTGGTTGATTCAACGCCTCTCATGGGTTCGACCCTTTCTTGCCCTTGCTACTAGTTTAGTAGGATCGAGTTAGGTCTTATTTCTTGATAGGTTGACGACGTCCTATCATAAACCTGATTGACTAGTTGTGGAAAGAAGCATGTTAACGCGAGTTGTGCACTCTCTTTGAGTCTGATATGTTTGAGAAGAGTATATCTTGCCTTGCTATTAGAAATCCATCTGTTGTAAGTATCTTTCAAGGTGAGTTGAAAGGTGGTTGATTGGAAATGGGCTAAAGGTAAAATACTATGTTGTTAGGATTTACTCTATAAGTTTGGTGCTGACCAACTCTTATGACTCACTTGGTTTGTTCTAAGCTTGTCTGATTTGCAGTAAGGTTGCTTAAGCTTTCTAGCATGATTGATTGTAAATCAAGGGTGTGTACTTTAAAACACATGCACAGGTGCCAATGAACTAATAAAGGTACGCATTAATCTCATTATTGTGATGTAGAGAAAGTGGTTTGGTAAATTATATTTATCATGTCTAAGCCAGAGTTGTTTTCATGATTTGGCCTTGATGTTTGATTCAAATGTGCTAATGTTTTGCAATCTAAATGATGAACAAACTATTCTTGACGTGTAGTGGTTTTGTTGTAAACTATATTGTTCATTCTGTTTGTCAAGAGAGAATTACTCAATTATTGTTTGAGTTTCAGATAGTATAGGGATGAAGGTTAATGTGATAAAGTTTCTCAAGTACCTATCCAGTAAATTCTAAAAGAGACAATGATTGAATGAACAACGGATGACTCGCGCCCGATCGGGCGGAGGTGGTCAAGGAAAAATAGAGATCTCCCGCGCCCGACCGGGCGGCGGACTCAAGTTTTGACGAGCCCGATCGGGCGGTTTCGCCCGATGGCTCGCTCGGAATGGGGATTTCAGATCGCCCGACCAGGCGGTGTCCGCCCGACCGGGCGCGACACTACGTCTGGAAAAACTTGATCTCGCGCCCGATCGGGCGGCAGCTCGCCCGATCGGGCCCGCCTTTTTCCTAGGTCGGTTTGTTTACGTGTTTCCTTTTTCCAGGACTCATATAAATACGAGTCTTACCTTTTCATGAGATTTATTCACTTTCTAGCCGAAAACACAAACCTACCTTTTGAGATCTGAACAGTTCTTGAGCAATTCCACTCTTCGAGTTCGGGTGCACGGATTACGGAGAGAGTTGCGTTAAACTTGGAGGGCGTGCGTCATCGGGAAACCTGTACCGGTGGTGGCGTATTTCGCTTCTAAGGCAGTGGATTTTGTTCCACGGCGCGACTGTGAGTTTGAGATCTTCAATCAAGTATTTTCCCTTTCATCTTCTCTATTTTGTTATTGGAATCAACAGGTATTTTACCAACATTTGGAATATCTTAGATGCATTTGTAAGGGATACGTGGAAAAGAAGGTAATAAAACTATAAAAGTAACTATATGTAAAAATGTTAAATGAGTATATAATAACACCAAATAAGACGTGATATTCTGATTATATCGGTAGCTGCTCGTACATTAAAGTTACGAATGAATTGAAAAAACCAATATATTCAAAGCTAGTTAATCATCTCATTATTAAAGAAAAAAAATTTGTAGTTCAATATAATGATTTTTAATTTGTAAAGAATATCTACCTATAGCTAAGGAAATTTGATTAATATATAAATGAATAATTTTTTTATACTTCTGGTAGTTAATCATCTCATTAGAGAAGGAAATCTCTAGTTAAGGGAAATTTAAGCTTAAATTTGCAAGTGGCTTTATATTTTGAAACATTATTGAGAGAAAAAAGAAATTTAAATTAAGCAAAAGTGTAAAACACGTAGTCAGCATTTACAAAATTTACTGATGTAGTGATGTGTCCCCTCGTACAACAAATGATAAATCTCATCACTCTCTTTCTCTTCTTCACCTAAAAAAAAAGGTAAAAATTTAAACCATTAACTCCATATTTAAACGTAGTCACCAAGATTTCCCACAATTTTGGTACCATCATATGGAGTATATCACATCAACAAATCCCTTTTCATATATTTTAAAAAAAGGGAACAAATGTGGAAATTGATTTTGTTTCCTATTAATTCTATTAAGTAGGGCTCGTATCATACAAATTATAAACTTATGACTAATTTAATGTAAATCATGTTCACTTCAGAATAATTTCAGTTTAATTTCTAATATCCTTCTCTTATAAAAGCTTATTATTTTCAAATTTTATATAATTATATTTTACTAAGAGTTCTTTTTATGCATTCAGGTTCATCTACACGGAGTAGTTTACTTTTCTTAATTTCTTTGATGATTATTATCTTTTGAATATACATATATACCACTTTGTATACAATACACCCAACGGTGCAACATTCTCTAAAAATCTATACTCACTTTCTAATCGCACTTTACAAACCGTCTGATATTAGAATTTGCGTAATTAATTAATGCTCGTATTTATTTAGGTTTATATGAATTTATAAATTTCCCTAAAATAATTTTGGTACCCCTTCAAAGGAAATAAAAAAAAAAGGTCTGGGTGGCCCACAAGTAGGCACAAAAAATACAGAAAACGCTCTAAATGTGGCAAAAAGGGTCATGCAACAGTGTAGACTTTGCCATGCAGACTTACCATTTCTAGGCGTTCTCTTTCTTTCTCTAGTTTCTCTCTCTAACCTTCTCTCCAATTGGAGATCAAAGGAGTTGTATTCTTTCTTTATAATCTCTCTCTTCTCCTCTTTTGATCTCCTTCATTCTCCCTCTTCTTTCTCTTTCTCTCTCCATTTTTAGCAACCCCCATTTTCTTCTTTTTCTAAGTTTAGAACAATTACAAAAAAGGAAGCTTTTTTATATATATTCTTAAGCAGAAAAACAGGGGAGAAAAAACAGGGGATTGTTGATTTTTATCTTCATTTTTTTTAGGGTTTTATAGAAATTAAATTGTGGGTATTTCTGGGTTTTTGTTGAATTGAAATGGGTCGTGGTAAGATTGAAATTAAGAAGATCGAAAATGCAAATAGCAGACAAGTTACATTCTCAAAACGTCGTTCTGGGTTGCTTAAAAAAGCTCATGAACTTGCTGTTCTTTGTGATGCTGAGGTTGCTCTTATCATCTTCTCTAGTACTGGAAGACTCTTTGAGTTTTCTAGCTCTAGGTAATTATTAATTAATCTTCTTCTCTTTAATTTTTTTTTAAATTTTTTTTTAGATAATTTATCTTGAATATATAATTTATATTTTATCCAAAAACACTAAAAAAGGGAGCTTTTTTATTTAAGAATAAGAAAAATGTTATCTTTAGTATGTTGCATGTTGAAATTTCTGGGATTATTATTACAAATGTTTGATTTTTAAGTTTGATTGTCGTTTGTCGGTAGAAAATTATGTGTTTTCTATTTTCCATTGCATGTCATGTTTAATTTGTTTGACCTTGTTGACTGCTAGTCTTGTTTTTTTCCAAGTAATTTCCTTGAAATTAATAACAAGTTAGAACATTCAACTTGTTTTGATCGTCAAAATTTGAATAGTAAAAACAAATTTTGTGTTTTCTTCTTTTCCATTGCTTTTAATTTTTTGTACGAATAAACTTCCTATTTTTGGGTTGAATTGCAAAGCTATTTCTAAAAATATCCACTATTTAATTTTAAGCCCCGGAAAGACTCTTCTACTCCTTTCCTTGCACGATTATATTTTGGTGCAAAAATTATAAATAAGAAAAAAATATTAAAAAGTAAAGCATTTATGTATTTTTTTTTATCTTTTCTTCTTTCTAAGAAAGTGAAGTTAATTGCATACCTTTTTTGTTGAAGTGCATGATTATTTACCATATTAGGTGAAATAGCATAATTAGTAACTAAGCATGTGTATCATACGAAGCATGTCATAAATGAGTAAAAAATTAGGAAGCATAAATTTAATATTCGTAATGATAAAAATAAAAATAAAAAAAATCGAAATTTATTTTAAGGAAAAAGATATATGCATCCCTTAAAAGTGGAAAGAATAGACAATAAATAAACATTTATTACACCGATTTACTCGTGAATTATCGATAAATTTCCAACTTATTACCAAAAAATGAAGGATATTAAATGCTTATAAGATAGCATTACCCTTAGTTTAAAAGTTTGTAAATATACTCCTAACATATTTTGCCCCTTTAAACCTCGAACCGGGATGGTGTGGTGTGGTGTGGTTTTTGAGCACTCCTATGTGGTGTGGCTGAAATTGAACCATGCATGTGAGTCCACACAATTAGCCTTGTCATTTTGAAGAAGCAAAGCTTTAGTGTGAAAAAAGTGCTTTAAACTTTTATTTTAGTTATGCTTTATTTACATGGTGGCTAATTCATTTCAATTGCACTTTTACATGTACATTTGTTGTGAAAAATCATTAATTACTTGAATACGGGTATGACGTATGAAATGTTATACCATAAACTTTCACAAAATTATACCATAGATATAATGTTTGTATATTGAAAAAAAAGTTGGGAAGAGTTGATGTCAATAGTGCTCTCCTTCGTCTTGAGATGCACTCACTGCTTCTACTCTCATTAGCTAGCTTCACCTTGCTCGGTTGTGTGTCTTCTCATACACGCACAATACAAATGCAAGAACATCCATGTATACTTGCACTGCCGACCATTATTTAGAACATCCATGTATACTTGCACTGCCGACCATTATTTAATGTGGATTACTATTCCACATTAAACCTTCTGCCATCTATTGGACTTTTAGTCCACAAAACTCAATACACCAAAGTGAAGGTTTATTACAAACCTTCTGCCACAATTGGACTTTCAAGTCCATCTTTTTTTTCTTTCTTACAATAACAAATAGTAATACTATTCTACTAACCTTGATTTGGGGAGATTAACACCACATATATATGGGCTGAGCACTGTAATTGATCACTTATATAGTTATAACTGAGGTGAGTAGCAGAATATGCACTTCTGATCTGAATTAATGCTTAATGTTTAATTATTGCTACAACTTCTGCTTTTTGTTATGTGTTCAAGTGTTTTGTACTTATGTTTCATTATGTGCAGCATGAAGAGAACAATTGCAAGGTACAAGAATGCTCTGGAAACTTCTGATGTTTCAGTAGGAAAACCAAAGCTTCAGGTATAGGGGTCTGAAACTCGAATTCTGTTTTTAGTTCTCAGGGATGACATTACATTGATACTTAACTGATGATTAAAAAGATTTCTCCCTTTCTTTCTGTTGCATAGTTTGACATCTTTTACTAGTAGAGCCTTCGAATATTATCTTGAGACAGTAGGGATGGATAATGTTAAAGTATCTGGACAACGGTGGTTGTTTATGGCCAACTGCACAGTCGTTAGCCTATTTTGTATAAGCAAGCCTTTCTTATCGAACTATGCTCTTATTAGCAGATCGAAGATTTGAAGGAGATTGATAGTCTGAAAGATGAAATATCTAGGCTCCAAGTGAAACAAATGTATATTTCCTTGAACTTGTCATTGATTCTAGCCTGTGCTATACTATTGTAAACTTAAATCACTTGAGTTAGTAAAAACCATTATCAATTTACAGGAGGTTGCTGGGTAAAGATTTGTCAGGCTTGAGCATGAAAGAATTGCAGCAGCTGGAAAAGCAACTCAATGAAAGCCTACTGTCCATAAAAGCTAAGAAGGTGGCTTTAGTTTTGTGGTGCCTTTTGTTTATCTCTGTCTTCTATTTGAGGCTACTTGTATTATTGTTTGACACGCGCCTACATCAATAGAAATTTCTGTGAACACTTTCTACTGCAGGACCAATTACTGATGGATCAACTAGAGCATTCACGCGTACAGGTACTTCACAGTAGCTGAAAATTTGTTAGTATTTGATGCTGATTAAAAAACCAATACAAATTTGAAGTTAGAATTTTCTGTTTGATGTATGATGGTGGCCTTTATGCGTGGTTCATGATGTGTTCTTCTTGAGACTAATGACGCGGATTTTACCTTGTAATCTAGGAGCACAGGGCCATGCTAGAGAATGAGAGTCTACGCAGACAAGTAACTTTCTTTTCTAATCCTCACGGATCAAGTTTTACTGTGCTGATTAAATCAGTGTTAACTCTGCTTTTGTCTGATATGTAGATTGCTGAACTTAGAGGATTTCATACACCATCTGACCGTCCGGAACCTATGTATCTTGAGTACTATCCCATAGCAGCAAAGGTTTCCTCTGAGACAAATGCTACTTCAGGTTCAGATGCAATCTGCAACAGTGAATACGACAAAACAGATACAGATGTTACCTTGCACCTAGGGTACTTTTCTGTTCCCCAAATTTCATAAGATTTCATAGATTACTTCTCTACACTTAATATAAAATCTTTGTTGTTTCTTACATTCAAGCCACCATGTGACAGCATTCGAAAGAGGAAAGCAACAGAGAGCGACTGTGGAAGTCCAGCAGCTTCTCCTTGATCATCTTTCTCTGCCTCATTGCTAGCTGCTGCTCAAATTGGCACCAGATATAGCACATTTTGGTAATATATTATAGCCAGCCGGATATCTATTGGCACTTAGTCGACAACTTGACATCATATATTAAATAAGTTGTAAATATTTAGTTAACTACTTCTAGTATCGAATAGTCTACTCCTCTACAGATGAAGAGCTATCTGTATGTCGTACAGAAAGAGCTTTATCAAAGCCTATGTGAATGATATATTAGTGTGTCACTAAACTTGTGTCTTTTTAAGTGAATATCATAAAAAAAAACAGCAATCCAGAATCCCATTCATGGTGGAGTATGATGGTTAAATGTACATGTGCAGAACTTTGCAATCGAACTCAAGTAACCTGTATGAACACTGAAAGCAAAAACTTTGGACTCTTTGCAATCGAAATTTCATTAACTTTATGCATATACTGCATTACAATATTTTTCACAAAACATTCTTTACTACAAAGTACAAACACTACACTTCTTTACTTAGCAACCCTGGACCTAAATTCTACACTGGAGTTCTTTAGGAGTTGATATTTTCTTCCTCCCCTCACTCCAAATGAGTCTAACCTACAAAGTTGAACTAGATTGACATGTACAATTCACCAAGGTCGCTACAATTTTCATGAAACAATATACTCAAACCTCTCAAACTACTTAACAAACTTTGAGGCAAGCAACTATACATTGATACAAAGAAAAAAAAAAACACTTGTTTTTACTAAACATTATTCTTTATTGATTTCTAGACATTATACAAGAAAAATTAACCCTAACTACTACTTTTTGAAAGCCTAAGACAATCAATTAACTCACTTCTCTTAGCCAAAACCTCAGAGAAGAAGCAATTAACCTCTTTATTAACCAATTCCAGTAAATTCTCAAGTTTCCCTAACATCTTCTTCAATTCCTCTGCATCCAACTTCTTTTTACTGCAACTTATTCCTTCAATCAAATCAGCTTCAATCTCTTTTACTGCAACATTTACCTCTTCAATCTCTTTAACCATCAAATTTTCAGCAAACCCCAAATCAAAACCCTCAAATTCTGCAGAATTCAACAAACCCAGATGATCCTCACTTCCTTCACTTAACCCACATAAACAAACCCTAGAAATTGCCAAATCAATCCCTTTTGATTTCACCATAGCTTCATAAATCACCCTTTCTTTGTCACAATTGAAGCTTTCAACACCCTTTTTCTTGCAATTCCCAGCCTCAAATTTTCTGGGTTTGATTGGTTTTAAATGATGAAGAGCTGAAGAGGGAGAATTTGGGATTAAACTTACAGCATGACAGAGAGTAAGACGAGAAATACCCAGATGAGAAATCGATGAACTGATTGAATTCAAAGCATCTAACATGTTCAAAGTATGTGAAAGATAATCTTCGGCTAAATTTCCCTTCCATTTTGAAAGTGGGTAGTCTAAATCTTTCACCAATTTTGCAAATGCTCTGTTTTTATCCTGTAAAAATTTGAAACAGGGGATGAACCAGGAGAGAGATCCATATCTTTTATCAGAGAGCAATCGATTCAAGCTCTCTGATAAGTAAGATTGGAAAGATTTCAAAGCAACTGATTGAGAATTATCCAGTTTTGGGTCTGATTTTCGAGGAAATTTGGTTGATCTCTTGGTGAACAATACCATAGAAAATTCACCCAATTTCACAAGAAAGCTCAAATCTTTCGGGTGGAAATTTGAAGAATTAAAAATAAAAAAGTTGGATTTTTGAATTCAATTAATAAAAATGGAGAATTTTGGAAAATTGTGTGAAAGTTTGTGCAAAATGTTTTGTTTTATATAGTCTCTATTTTAAGGTGGATTAGTCAAATTGTGGTTATCTTAGTTGTGTAGCAAAGTGTGTAAGAATGTTTTTTTTAGTTGTCATCAAACACGTCTCTATCTTTTTTTTTTATTAATTTTACTAATTTTGTTCAAAAATTGAATAAAATTATGATAAAACACGCTTCTAATCCATGACTAAATTAATGACAAAGAAAGGAGTGTTAAGAATTTCGTGTACTGATTTTTGATGCTTGGCTTGCCATAGTTGCCAAGCAAAAGCATTTAGCATATGTTAGGAAGGTTGGTAGAAAGTTACCAAAAGAACTCATTTAGTTATGCTAGAGTTTTGAAAATGTGTTTTATATAGCATCTTGGGTTGCTCGGCATGCTCGCTCTAAACTTTGAACGATTTCCTTAGAAATTGTTTAAATCAAAATTAATTCCTAATTTGGGTCGTTTAAAAAACTTATTCCCTGAATAGTGTCCATGTAGAATTGGAGATAGCTTTGTTTTATTAATTTTTTTGTTTTGTTTTGTTTGTTTATGTGGATATTAGCCCTTTTTTTTTTATTTTTACATTTAATGATTTACATGATACTAGATGACTAGTAATCTAGTATACTGCTGTAGTAGTAAAATACGATTATAATGGTGATAAAACTTAAAATTGGGCCCTATACAAAAAAAAAATCTCTATCTTCCTATTTTCTCTCTCCTCTACTTTCATTCTGTAAACATCAAGTTTTCTTTGATCTTCTCTGTTAGGTTCTTCCTCTCTCTAAACCCAACTTTTAATTGTAATTTTGTTTTTATTTTCTGGGTAATTTCACACCATTATGAATTTAAGGGAATACCTCAGCATTCAACCTCAAGAACTCCAATTTCATGTACTTTTTTGTTCTTCCTGTTTTTCTTTGTAATTTTTTGCTGTAGGGCTGTTAAAAAAACTTGCAGTGTAAATGGTGAGATTATATCAGATTATCGGTGGGATGGCTAACAAACTTGCAAAAAGAAACGCCAATACCAAATTAGCAATATTGGTTCAAAATACATGTAAAACCGCTATATTAATTGCGGTTCTACTCATAACAAAAAAAAAAAAAAAAAACAAAGCTAATATCCAATCCTACGTGGACACCATTCAGGGAATAAATTTTTAAAACAATGCAAAGTAGGAATTAATTTTGATTTCAGCAATATTTAAGGAAATCGTTCCTAAACTTTTATTCAAAACACTTTTCATTACTCTAAAATAATTGCGGATATTGAATTATTGATTAGTTATAATTCTATTACGAGTCAATATTTCAAACTAAGAAATACAAAAGTAAGTCACACCAAGCATTATACTCCATTGATAAAGTGGTACTTAATATTTTTTAGTGGCTACGAAGCAAATTTGAAAATTTTCCCACTCATTTATTTTACAATCATAATAAAGCAATTTTAATAGTGTATGTATCTTGCATCTTTTTATTTCCTATAAAATCTTAGAAATATATTTTTTGGATCAAGAAATTATATTTACCTAAATAAATTTCAATCATATTTGACAACAATAAATAATCATATACTTGTATAATTTAGTAATCTTATTTAAACCAATAATATATACTACGTATATACTAAAATAATTTGAATTACGACGTTGTTAAAATTTATTTGGCCATTATGTAATCATTTAAAATTTTTAAATGATTATAAATAAAAGAATATTACTACATACAAAAATAGTAAATTTTTGTGTTACTTCTATTTTCAACGATTTTTTGTGGTCATCTTTTTACAATTACGCACCGTTCTTTTCATCACTTATTTATTATGTACTGTATTGAACACAAGACCTCATTGAATGAAGACCAACTTATTACCATTCAACCTATAAGCTAATGTTGTTCAATCTATGCACATAAATATATAAATACATATTAGAAATAAAAGGAAAATCATTCAAAACTATTTATTATTGTTATTGTAATATTATAATTTTCGACAGTAAAAAAATTCTTTCAATCTCTTTAATAATAATTTTGATACAAATACCCTGGGCCAAACACTAGTTTAACTAATTATATCCTACTTATTTTAGTCAAGGTTATATTACATTTTAATAAAAGATACGGAGTATTATTGATTGTATATTAAATGTAGGACATTCCTATGACTAAAAACATAATTAAAAAAATTAGTTAACTAAAAATTTCTAAACATAATTTTTTGCCCCTTAGTATATCAACAAAATCAAAATATTATATATAATGATATAATATAAAATTATAAATATATTTTATAATTTTTATAATTTACTAAATACTTAGGGTGAAATTTGATATATAGAATATGTAAGTAATACTATTTTGATACGAGTCATAATAAGTAAATCCTTTTTCTTCTTGTCAAAAGTAAAAGTGAATCCTTCGATATTTTTGTTTCAATGTTTTTTAATATAATGTATGTAAGAAAATAATAGAAGTTGATAATTATGTAAAATATTTTATAAAATACGATGTACATTTTAAGTAAACAAAAAAAAACATTCAAAAATTAATCAAATTTAAATCAAAGTTTTAAGAAAGTTATTTGAAAATATAATGAAACTATATATCAATGTACTTATTACTCATAAAACACGGGTGTAAATTGCGTATTTGGTACAAGTACGGCTAAAATGATATTAGAGGTACCCATGGTAAAAGAAATACTACGGGTACGCCAATACGGGATCGAGTACGGATACGAAACAGGTATGCAATACGGTTGTTGGTAAGATAGAAGATACAGATATGGCTAATTAATTATAGTAAAATATATTATTTAAATAAATATTTTATAAAATTCAGATTATTAATTATTTGAAATTTTTTACTTAACTATATTTTAAGAAAACAAAAAAATCATTCAAAAATTTATAAACTTCATAAAAAATTATATTGATTTTAAAACTTTTATTATTCAACATTGAATTTTATTTACGATATGTAATACTGCGATAAAATTGGGTACAATTTACTGTAATGAATAACAAATTATTGTTAAGTATTTCACTATTATGCACTGCTAACCTTAATTGATTTTATAAATACTTAGAGTTAAAATTAGAGTTATCAATCCTAAATTATAACCTTGTAGGCTTGTAGCTCCCATTTTATTTGTAATGTTTTAACCAAAACATTACAAGTGTTTTTTTATCAAAAAAAAAAAAACATTACAAGTGTTTCAATCTATTTATGTCTCAAACATACGAAGAATGTGCTACGACAGTTCAAATCTGTCAATTTCAGATACTTTTTAATTGGACTTTCGTGGGCCGAGCCGGAACCACTTAAGTGCCTTAGGCCCATAATAAAATATTAAGGAGCAAAGCCCATAAGATTTTTAATTGGTTTATTCTTGTCAGTTAATTGGTGTCTCAAAGATATGTGCGACAAATACAATATGTTTTTTTTCAGATCATACAAATTAATTGAACTTTCTTAAGGAAGATTTTTTTTTTTTTTAAATTGTTTTTTTTTGTCCTATGCAATTACCTCTAATTTTCAGTTTCCTAATTTGATACGAGTAATATTGTAATAGTAACTAACATGTATAATCCTTTTCTCAAAGGATTGCTATAGGCCAATACGGAGAATTAAATGTTAATCATTAGGTAAATCGATAAAATTTTCAACTTAATGCATGTCAAATATTAATTTACGTTGAGAATGTAGCTAAATCACACTCAACATTTTAACCAAATAAGTATACTGACTTCTAATACAATATATTCCGTTCATAACAAAACAATTTTTTTTGTTTTTTTACAAAAATAACTTAATTGATAATATTATACATGTATAAAATGATTGTTTTATATAATGCGAGGGTTCTAATTTATGTTCAACCTTTTAACCAAACACGGAGTAAGATAGTTGACATATAACGCAATCTAGTTATCAAGACTAAACAAACTCATAATAAACATAATCAATTGTTAAATGAGCAATATTTCCCTAATTAATGGTACAAGTTGGTACGATCACGAGTATGTTTGAAGCTGTAAACATACATTGTGGGTCAAAATAGTATGTATGTTTGTGTGCTGTAAAAAAACAGGTATAATTTCTCTCACCGTTGACCATAATCAGGTTCACGAGGCTGCAAGATTTGTTGAATTGAGAGAAATAAGAAAATAAAATGATGGGCTGTTGATGTGATGGTGATGTTGATGATGTTGACTTAATTGTGTGATTTTAACATGTACTAATCCTTAATTGGGGCCATTTTATTGTCCCCATGCATGTGATTAGCCCACATGTTTCTATGAAATTATGCTCAATTTTTCATTATTTCTCTTTTGATGTTCAAAAAAAACAAAAAAAAATAAACTTTTGGAGGTACGAAATTACTCATAAATTATAGAGGAATTATGCTCAACCATTTCATTATACTATTTATTTTTGTTAGTTTTAAAGGATTATTGTTCATTGATAGAGAAATATGTGAGAACATATAGCGAGTGTACACCAAGTTTAATTTTTCAAATGCTATAAAGGATCATCCTAGTAATGTGCAATTCTTAGTGCAAGATGAAATCAACATTTATATTGTAGTTTTAATGATAAAATTCATTATTATCTAGCTTAACTCAAATTTATAAATCTAATTCATCACATTTGTAGTTGCCATGTGATATTTTATTAATAAAAACAAAAAAACTTTTAGAAGTTTCTAAGGAATGTTCAGTGATATTTTATGACTCATACATGACACAAAACCGTTTTAATGTTTTATGCTAGAATTTGGTTGGAATATATGTATATACTATGGAGATTAATGTTGTGCTAATAATCTTCAAAAGACAATGATTTCCAATAGCATAAAATTAAACCATATACACACAAAATTAAAAAGTTTTAACTTCTATAATCCAAACAAAAATAATCTGTAGCAGAATTTATTTAATTTTTCAAAGATTACGAGCAAATTAGATTTAATTTTGGATTTGATGCTTATTAGTTTATTTTCAGGATGAATCTAAGAAGCTCAAATTACACTAGATCTACCAATACATTATGTGACAAATCTTAAAGAAAACTAAAATAAAATAAAACCAATAAATTTAAATTCTCCCTATAAAAAAAATACAAAAATAAAAACAAAAAAAGCCCATATACACACTCAGAGCGAAGATGATCACAGAAAATGAGCCCATGAGAGAGAAAATTATTGGTCCACTGCCCATTAACAATGTTTCAGAATCCACATTTTTAGGGATTTATCAATTATTATAATTATTTAATTTTTTTTTGGACTTTTCTTTATTTTTAAATAATTCCATAATAATAATTAACCAAAATCCCCTCAATATATACCCTTTATATAATCTCATTTGATATTAAATTTTCACTTCCAACTAAACTCTTCCTAGCTTTACTTCTCTTCCAAACCAAAAAAATGGAAGAAATAAACCAAAAAAAACCAACAATTTTTCTTATAATTTCAACATTATTATTTTTATTACCATTTATTACAAATGCAAAGTCACAAAATGTGCAACTTAGCAAATTATACAAGACCAAATACCATAACAACAATGAAGAGTTTAATGAAATTAACAAGCAACCTTATGATACAATGCTAATGGATGGTATAGTTGATAAACGCCACCATGAACACCACAAACAACACCATCATCAGCACCATATTCGTCGTAGTCGTCGTGATCATCAGAAGGAAAGGGATAGAATAGTGAAGCTTCCAGGACAACCACCAGTGAATTTCTCACAATATGGTGGTTATGTTACAATTGATAAAAAAGCTGGAAAAGCTTTTTATTATTATTTTGTTGAAGCTCCTACTAATCACACTTCTTTGCCTCTTCTTCTTTGGCTTAATGGAGGTAATTCATTCATTCCTTTAATTTTACTCCCTAATTAATCACTATAACATTATATTCTAGTTCTGTTTCATTCTGTTTTTGAGTATTTTTATTACTTAATGTATTATATTCGATTTTTTTTTTAATTTTTTTTTATCGGTCAGTAAAGACATTACAAATTATAAAAAGAGAATTGATATAATATTCGTGTATGTAATTAATTAAATAGTTTATTCGTCTTTGACACTAGGCCAAGAACTCGCGTAATTATTGGTTAATTTTTGCAAAACTGTAGGTCAGTAATTGTGAAGGTGTGAACTTTGTGTTTTGTTAATGCAAAAGGTGTATGAGGCCTTTAATTGAGTAGAAAGTTCACTCCCTTTACACTGTTTTTTTTTCTTTTCTTTCCCTTTATGGAATAGCTGAAGAGATAAGGTATTATTAATTTTATTTTATTTTGTTTGATATAATGAAAATCGACAATACATCACTTGTTTTAATTTCATTTCAAAATTGAACATAATTAAGCTAATTGAAAATTAATTTACGTATAATAGTTTATAATACTCACAATGTACTAATCTAATACTTATTAATGTTACTTTCTTAATGATCATATATGACATATTGACATATAAACAAGTTAATTCAACTCGAATTATTATTTGTTTCATTTCTCTTCTTAAATACGAAGTACATTAAATTAAATTGCATATTTGGTCATATATCTCAAACTTGAGAGGGATTGTTATTTTTATTACTAAGGGAATATACTGTATTAATATGATTTGGAGTTTGTTTTAATTAACTAAATTCTTTGACCTTGAACAAAAATGCAGTAGCTAATTAGTAATTTAATTACCATTATTTGCGGAACAAACAAAGGCTCGATTCTCGGGTAGTAATCTCGATTTGTTTGCTTCTGTGTTTATCTTATCAGTTTGTACCATCTGTACACCATTTATCCTTTTATTATTATTTTTTTTCCCTTCTAATTAAAAATAATAATTTTATTTTTTAGGTTAGAAAATTGCTAGTTGCTACTACTCTACTAGACATGCATAATAGCATACACGTCACTAATTGAATCATCAATTATCATTAGAATAAACCTATTGAGTAACATATATTGTAATTCTTCGTCCCTATCTTGTATTAGGATATTATTTGTTCGTTTACATAGTAAGTTATAATTTAACATATTTACATATTATTTCTCTAAAACTGATGACTACGACTTTACCAGTAAAAGAGTATTAATGTTCAATTCGATTTAATTTGTTGTAGGGAATGTAGTAAGGAAGGCAGTTTCCTTCGTTGTTGCGTAACGCAAAGCAAAATTATGTTTGTTAAATTTGATGTCAATCAAACAAGCACTTAGATTTAAATTCGTAGCATCATTGTCTCTTATACTAGAAGCATTACATTTCATTGATATTATGTAGCCAATTCAATTGATAGATATTGCATGTGTTTGTGTGTAGGCTTGGTCCCTACTTTTCGAATATGTTGAGCACAAAAATAACTTGGAATTATTATATAGTGACATTTTTATAATTACAGGCTAGACTAATGATTTAGGACATGGACAAATTTGTATGGCCTACGCGCAAATATATAAATAATTGTCTATGTATAAGTAATAAGGATATTTTGTCAAAAAAAAAAAAAATTAAAAAATTAGGGTATTATTTTTAACAAAAACAAATAAAAATAATCTGAGGATATTTATACTTGTAAGATTTTCTGAACGGTCATTTGAGAGAGGGCCTATTATGTTCAGCTTAATTCAGTTTAGCTCTAATAAGTTTAGTTCATTTCACTTCCTAATTTCCTTCTCTCATAAACAATTCATTTCAATTCTATTCAGTTCAGTTAAGTTATTTTCAGTAAATCAGAAGATACCCTAAATTTAACCAACAACTTCCTCTATCATTATTACTTACCTTAATTTTTTCAATAAAAAAATACACCGTTTCAAGGTAGTTATTTTATTATTATTAAAAATATTCTTCCACCGTTCTCTGAATTATTGTAAACAGCAACATTAATAAGAATCAAATTTCAGAAAACAAAATGGTTATAATACTGATTTTAATCCTAAAATTCATTCATTCCCTGCAGTTTTAACACTTGTTTCTTGCTTCATCCTTCATTATCTTAATTATTTCTTTTTTTATATTGTTCAAATAACTCACCTTGACCATAATTTTTTATACCAAGTATTTATATGTATACATAATTAAATGTAGTGCTGCAAATTGCTACGGAATATTGCATGGATATGTTTTCATAATTTTTGTTTTTCATATGATTAAATTTTTTTTATTGCGAGGAGTTGATAAATGTGATCCATTTAAATAGAAGTATAATATTAGTATTAATAGACATTAGTGACAAATAACATATCCATTTGTTCATAACAATGTCAATTTTTTTTTTGTCATTTTTTCTAAAATAGTACAGAGTACTTTATAGTATTGGTTTATGATTAAGTTCTTTAAACATGTCATATAGACATATATAAAAGAAAAGACGTGGCGATATAGCCATGGAAAACTAAATTTAAATGTAATTTGGAGTTGTAATTAACCGTTGGAGGATTGAGATGAAGTATCAACTAATCGTCTGTTCTCATACGTTGAAATTCAGTTCAGTTCAGTTCAGCTCAGCTCAGTTCAGTTCAATTCAGTTCAGTTCAGTTCAACTTCTAATTTCCTTCTCTTATAAAATATTTATTTCAGTTCAATTCAATTCAGTTCAGTTCAGTCAATGAGAACATGCCCTAACTCTTTATTGAAGAAGTAACATGGTCCAATTTATAGGTGAAATTACAAAGGATTGTACTAATCAAGTTTTCATTGATTGATTAATTAAGTGAATTTAAATTTTGCAGGTCCTGGTTGTTCATCTTTGGCTTATGGAGCTATGGAAGAGTTAGGACCATTCCGAGTTAGAAGTAACGGCAAAACATTATATAGGAACAAATTTGCATGGAATCATGGTAATTAATAATTTTATCCTAATTTTTGTCTCCAAATTTGATTAATTACCACTTAAAACCCGAAAAAAAAAACTAATATTTTCGCGTAAAATTTGTGTATGTAGTTGCAAATGTTTTGTTCTTGGAATCCCCTGTTGGAGTTGGATTTTCTTACTCGAATACAACATCAGATTATGATACAAATGGAGATACTAAAACAGCTGAAGATAATTATGTATTTTTATTGAATTGGTTTGAGAGATTTCCTGAGTACAAAGGCAGAGATTTTTACATTTCTGGTGAAAGTTATGCTGGACATTATGTTCCTCAGCTTGCTCATGCTATTCTTCAACACAACACCAAGCCTAAAAGTTCAATGATCAACCTCAAGGGCATCATTGTATGTTTCTTTTCCTACTCTCTCTCTCTCGAGCACACTTATGATTACGTATGTTTACCACATTTATATGATTTCATCTATCTTATGTAGTTCTTTTATAAAACAGGTGTATCGAATTGAATTGTTAACAACTTTATGTATAAAAATTAAACAATAATCTCCCATTAACGAAGTTGATTTTTATGTGATATGAGATGCTCGACACATGTTGTGGTATATTCTAATAATGAGTGTATACAAACAAGGTGCCTAATAGAAACAGGACATGATAAGACTATATAGTAGTGTATCACCAATAATTGGAATTTTGGCCTTAATTATTCTATAATTGACATAAAAAGCTCTGAAGTTAGACCATGTGTTTGCATTTCCTACTTATAATTTATACGAAGTATATTTGGAGTATACGATAATTAAGTGTTTGACTTAAATACAAAGTTCAGATGCCTTTTTCAATTCCACTAGCAAAATTCTCTGACATTTAGCTAATATTACATGTGAAATATTTAATGGCCACATCTTTGGATGTCTAATTTTGGGATTGGTTTTTGGAATTTATTCAGAAGATTGGAATAAAAGTTTTTACTACTTTAATTTTGCAAAATTAAAGTTACGTATATTTTTATTTTATTTACATAGTTTAAGGACCATGTGGTTTTACTTATATGAACTTATTAACCCTAATTTAAATTTTTCAATGTAGATTGGAAACGCAGTGATAAATGATGAAACAGATTTGAAGGCAATGTACGAGTATTTTTGGACACATGCTATAATATCGGACCAAGTACGAAATGATATAATGGGGCATTGCAATTTTACTCCAAATACCAGCAACCAGAGTTTAAAATGCAATTCAGCTGCTGATCAAGTTGAGATTGATATTCAATACCTAGACGTTTACAACATCTATGCTCCTGTGTGCCACTCCACTAATCTTACTCTCAAACCCAAGAAACTCACTGTAAGTTCATCGTATTAATTAATCTCATTCTTAATCATGTATCTCAATCAAATTGTCAATAATAAAACGACTTGCTACGAAATCCTTCCCTTGTGTGGGAAAGATGGTCACAATGGCATTTCACGAATTTGAGATTCAATTCTGACCATTACTTTATTATCACGTTTAGTTTTTTGATACGAGGATACGAACATAACTTAATAGTTTATTTTCGTGTGCAGCATGAATTGGATCCATGCAGTGATCATTATGTGACGGCTTATATGAATAATCCTGAAGTCCAAAAGGCTCTTCATGCAAATGTGACCAATCTTTATTATGATTGGCAACCTTGCAGGTATGTTAATCTTTAAATAATTTTATTAATTGAAAACATCGACTATATATATTGAAGTACGGAGTAATAATACGAGTACACATTTGTTACAAATCACGATATTAGTTAGATAAATGATCAATTATAAACAACCACATATTATTGTTGTACAATCGTGTATACCTTAACCTTTGTATCAATTCACAGTCACTATTATTAACATATTAAATTATTAATGAGCCAACTAAGATTAAAACTTTTTGTTGTTATGAATACATACACATCTAAAAGAAAGACTTGAGCATTAATTTAGATATTGCTTTAGAAAGTGATTAATGTTATCATTTTGCAATGTTGTACACAGTAATAATCAGTAACTCATTTTCACTTAAATTGGTAACAATGATTTTTTTTTCAGTGCGGTTATTAATAATTGGGCAGACAGTCCATCAACAATTATCCCAATTCTAAAGGAGCTAATGGCTAAGAACCTTCGAGTGTGGATTTATAGGTAAAAATCCAATCTTTATTATTAGGATTATTATAGTGATCTAACCATCATTTTTTATGATATCATTATATTTACTTTTTATCGTTGTGACAATTTTGCTAGAAAATGGACCTGCACATGTCTAACAACATTTGTGAATCATTTGTTTTAGGTTAGAAATCATGACCTAAATATTTAAAGTGAACTCGTGAAATCAATGTAAAATTCATAATATCAGTTAACCACCATCCATACTATTATTATATGCATCTACGAGTATGTGCTTCTGATTAATACAACATTTCTAATTATTCCTGAGATATAAGAAATTGGCTTATAATGACTTAATTACTTACATCCTAGAATCCTAACTTGACTCAACTCGAACCACTAAAACTCCTTATTTGAACTTTGAAGTGATGAATGGTGCAATAATGATCATCATGATCCTTAGTGCAGAAGTTTACTTTTGTTCATATTTTCTTTTTAAATGGGGCCAAAGGTTAAGAGAAAAAACAAAGACCTTTTACTGCTCTTTACTCTGTCAAAGACCGGACTCAAAATCACATCAATTCGATTAATTTATCTTGCAAGCTTACTGCCATTGGAATGTTACAAGTACAAGTCTTCCAATTTGGTCACAATTATCAATCAATCTTTTCAAATAATGTAGGGTACATTTAACAAGAAACAAATTAATTTACTTGATTTTTGGTGGTTGTTATATTTAATGTTATAATTGCCAATAACTATGGATTGTTGTTGAAGCATGATTTGTGCACCGATTTGGTCTAATCAAACATTATAAACTGTGAATATAATGCAGTGGTGACACAGATGGAAGGATACCAGTTACATCAACAAGGGAATCCTTAAATAAAATGGGACTTCAAATCAAGACTAAATGGCATCCTTGGTTCATCAAGGGAGAGGTGAATATTATTCATATTTTAACTCTTACTATCGTATTAGATTGAAAAAAAATATGGCGGATTTAGTTAAGGTTATGGATCTTTATAGTATGTACTAAATTGCGATCAATACTGAAACAACAAATGATTAGGCTATAAATGACGGATTAGTTACTGAAGACACCGGAGTATTATTTAATGGCAACGCAATTTGTAAAGGGACATTATATTCAATATTAATAATCGTATTCGTGTTGGTCAGGTTGGTGGATACACACAAGTATATGAAGGGAATTTGACATTTGCAACAGTAAGAGGAGCAGGCCATCAAGTGCCAAGCTTTCAACCATTAAGGGGACTTTCATTGATCTCACACTTCCTTTCTGGAACACCTCTACCTAATACTTCAAGAACCAAAATGTATTAATATCTTTTGTTTTTTTCTCTAGATTATTCCTAAGGAATTGTATTTCTTTTTTTTTTTTTTTTTGGTCCAAAATTGTTGTTGGTGGCCATTAAAACATCACATTGTACAGTACTACAGTTTATATGAGCTACACCTAATTTAATATTCAAGCACGACGAGTACTAGCTAATTCTTTTACATCCAAATGATTTTTGGTCATCCGTTCAATATCTTTACTACATTCTTTGAGACTAGGGTAAATTTCCCAATGTAATATACTACAAACAAATCAGCCAGTCAATTTGTTCTTTACACAGAAGAATCCTGCAGTAGAATGAATTATTTCATACAACTCCAAATTCACCACATCCTATCCTAATGACCGGAAGCAAATAGAAGTAAAGGAGCCCTCAAAAGTCTTCCTCCTGCCGGACCCTAGGCGCCCACAGCATTGCAGCCAAAAAAAAAAAAAAAAAAAAAAAAAAAAAAAAAAAAAAACAGTGGAGATTTGGATCACTATTCAAAAAAAAAAAAAAGGAGATTTGAATCATACGTAAATTTCAAATTGGCAAGTTAACTCAGGTTTTAGGCTAGCTACTTTACATGATAACATTATGACTTGAAGATAGGTGAAATTTTTTGGTGATGCCACCATGGCAGTCCAAACATCAGGTTTTGAGGTTTAGCCCCTTCATCGGCTTAGAACTGACCGTCCACGTTTCCAGCTCAAGAGGGCATTATTTCTCCCCAACCTGAATTAATCTAAATTGCTAAACTCAAGATCTGCGAACTGTATGATCAAGGAAAAAACAGAAGATTGTGTGTGCATCATATCAATGTGAAAAATTCAAGGGGTTAGAGCAACTTCAATTATGGAATACGGAGTAAGTAGTATGAGCCAACCAATTTCAAGGCACTATACCAGAGCAGCCTGATTACAGTACGAGTATCCCTTATAGAATTGAAGAGCTCCGTAAGTTGCAGATATCACCAGGAAACTCCATTCTTCATTTGGGCCTACCCATCTCCTATCAATCATATTAACTGCACCTTCCCAAAATTCAAATAGATTTGAGCATAAATCATTGTAACTTGCAAGATGAATTCCATATAATGCCTTAAATCAAAAAGTACTTTGAAAATTGGAAACATCATTCCATACAAGTATACAACTCAGAGCAATTGAAAGTACATAACATATACAACTCAGAGCAATTGAAAGTACATAACATCAAAATTGTTGAAATAATGATAAACTAAGCCATTATGTAGCAACATGTAGTTTCAAAAACTCAAAGATAGAACAAATAAACACAACAAAGAATTACAAAGCCTCATATTGTAGGGGAGAGAGACCTAATTAGCAAATTTGTCAAAGATTACATAAATTAGAACTGAGCTTAAACTAGTAGCAGTAATTAGAACTGAAATCATGAATTGTGAACAATGAATATAAGAATTCAGACCAGAGCAACAGCAATTACCAATAAACCTTTAAATGAAGTGATAATGTAATACACAAGAAACACTATAAAAGAGAGAGAGAAGTGGCAGTACACAAAATTGAAATTCAATGTGAAGTACAATTCATAAATTTGCACCATAATTCACGGTTAATACCTTTTTTTTTAAATCTTTAAGCTTGCAGAAACTACAGCAATAAAAGCACAAGGAGAAAATCAATTTAATAAAGAATGAAAATTTGAAGACACTATACCTGCAGAGAAGAGGTGCAAGAGCTGGGAGAAGAAGAGATGAAGGGAATTCTAAGTGAAGAGAGAGGATGAGATAGATATGGAAAGGAAATTTGGGAAACCACAAGAGAATTGAGAGAGGTCATTTTAGACCGATAACTTTGGTTTCTTACACTTGGGAAATGGTAAGGATATTTAAACAAGGGCAATGCTTTACCATAGACCTTCATTTAATGGCTAAAGACACCAAGGGACAGTATGTTTTGACATTCTCTCAGTATCTCTTGTAATTTTGGTGCCTTTGGCCACTCAAGAAACACAAAATTCCTCATTAAATCAGCAGTGTGAAGAACAAAAAAAATTCTAACACAACATTCAGCACTTACAAAAAAGTTATCTACCCTGTATAAACTACCTTTTTTCAAATACGACTTCCTTTTATGTTCTCTACCTCCAGCCAATCTGTAAAAGAGAATCATTTGTAATTAGAAAAGACATTTAAACTAATGCCAAACTGCCAACTATGTATACCACATTACTACTAACTTCATGTACCTAGAAAATCTTATATTTTGACCTATCAGCTACGCAGTATCTACAATGAGCCAAACTTGAAACAAGGAGAAACCATCTAAGCACTTACAGGCTTTGTCAACAAATGGTGAGAAAACATGAGAGGTAGATGAAAGTGCGAAACTAACAAGATATGCTTTCTGCAGTTCTGAAACTGCATTTACAGTGTCCAGATGAAAGCACTGTCTCAAAGAAGAGGTAGTGAGAAGTGTTATAAGATAACTTCCAATTCTAAACAATAGAATTTTAGTATTTAGATCAGATATTTATTTCGTCTAGCAAAGTCTCCTTTTATGAACACTTCCAGCAGAAGATTACAAGTACTCTGTGTGTGCTAAAGGAAAGACACTGAAACTCATGCTATCCAATGTACTGTATAAGATAAGCACGCTGAACCAAAATGAGAGAGCAAGTTTTGGGAAGAGTAAAGTCTGGTGATGAACAATCATCAACTGAACTTTAAAAGCATCAATGGATACAAAATCCAAAAGCAACAAATGTGGATTTCTACTCAGTCTATAAGTATAGATGTGTACACTAAATTGAAACATAACCTAAGTAGTGACAAACCAGAAGTACCTTGATAAGCAATAACAGTATCTGGTCATCTTTTTTGTAAGCCCTCCAATGTGAATGTTGCACAATCATCTGAAATTCATAATGACTTCAAAATATACATTAAAAATAATAACTATGTTATCATTAACCAATCCAACAAAGATCAAATTCACTTTTCAATATACAAAATTGCAACTAAGTATCAATAAAATCAACAGGAAAATTTATAACAAATGATACACGGTAAGATTCTGTCTACAGTGTTAAGGAGCATATAAATGCAATTAAGTACTTTGTACAACAGGAAGTTCCTGACAATCATCAATCTCCTCTTCTCAGTTGGAGATTTTCAGTACAGTTCCAAGTTATATTATCACTCAAAATTATAAGTAAAGCATATGTGCTAAATTAAATAAAGAAAGTAATCTAGTTGCGTCTAGAATCTTGAAGAAACTGCATATGAATCCAATAGTAACCAAACGGCCATTCACCTAAACCTATATCCTATAAAAAAGAATCAAATTTGAAACAGAGCTTCAGAAAGAACTAAGATCAAGAACTCCATTATATAAATAAAAAATCATACTCTGTAGTGCTACATTATTGTTGACATCCGAAAATATAAGCTAAAAGTATAGCTACCAAAACTATAGTGCTAATTTTCTCTAAATGCCTAAAATTATGATTATTGATTCATAATAATATTATGATGTGAAACAATATAAAAAATGAAGTGATACAAATTACAGTCCTCCAAAAGAGGGAGTATACGTATAACGTATTTACCAATAATCCCCACACGAGCAACTACCATTCTTAAAATGGTGAAATTTGCTAGCGTCTCTCACAACAATCTCACGATCTTTGACTTTTGATATCAGCTTAAGTGCATTATGACAATCGTGGCATATCCGATGGCTCTGAACAAGTTGAAGTGGGACATAATCAGGAGTATTCATAAGCCCAAAAGTCACAGCCAACTTTTCACTATGGTACAAAAGCATATGCTCTTCTTTCTCATCTACGTCTGGAAGCAAATATCTATTTTCAGGAACATACCCATGTTTCGAGATCTCCACAAGCAAACCATCCAAATACTGGTATATCTCCTTTGTCTGAGCATGTGACTTATCACCAGAACAAAACGCATGTGACTGTTTCTTTATTTCAATCCAAGTACACGACGGTAGTAATCTTAAACCTTTTTGCTTTAAGTTATGAATGACAGAAGCAGCTTCCTCCATCTTCCCCATGTTGTTGTATATATTCAAAAGAACAATATAGTTGCTAAGCTTTTCTGGTCCCATTCCATAAAGTTTCTCCGCAGCAAAAACCCCAAGCTCTAAGTTCTTGTGGATCCTGCAAGCAGTTAGCAACGCCGCCCACATATTCATTGTGGGCTCAAAGGGTGCATTTCTTATCAAAGCCAAAGCTTCATCCAAGAGCCCCTCCCGGCCTAATAGCTCTATCATACATGCATAATGCATTGCCCTTGGATTGATGTTATGTATGCTGTCCATTGAGTAAAAAATATCCCACCCACGATCTGACAAGCCTAAATTACTGCATGCAGATAAAACAGCAAGAAATGTAACATGGTTAGGTCTCATTCCTTCACAAAGCATTTTGTCAAACAACTCAACTGCATCTTCTCCTCTACCATGATTGGCATATCCAGCAATTAGAGCATTCCATGATATGAGGTTTTTGCAGGGCATTCTATCAAAAACATTTCGAGCATCTTCTATCCTCCCCCATTTGCTATACAAGTCTATAAGGGTTGTATTAGCTACTGTATCTAAGCTAAATCCATGACGAACTAAACTTGCATGAGCTTGTTTTGCATGTTCAAGTGACCCCAGCCTAGCGCATATCCTTACAACAATCGAAAATGTAAAATGGTCCATAGGAACATTAGCATCTTGCATTTCATAATACAAACTTAAAGCTTCCTCACTATAACCATGAAGTGCATAGCCTGCAATAATCGTGTTCCACCCAACAGTAGTCTTTTGTGGCATTGCATCAAAGACAAATTGAGCATCCTCAATGCTCCCACACTTACTATACATATCAATCAATGCACAAGCTACAAAAATATCATCACTAACACCCATTTTCAATACACATGAATGCAATTGTCTTCCCGGATATAACAACCCCAAACCTGCAGTTGCCCGAATCATAGTAGCAAAAGTTCGTGAGTCAGCCTCAGAATATTCTGACCACATCGTAAGAAACAATCGATAAGCCTCAACATAATCTCCTACATCCACTAACCCGGCAATCATTATATTCCACGAAACCAAGTTTCTCTGAGGCATTTCGTCAAAAAGTATACGTGCGTCCATTAACATATTACATCTCACATGCATCAACAACACCCTATTGCTCATATATTGATCTGGGACAAACCCATTATTAAACATGTGATTAGTTACCCTTTTTACCCCTTTAATTGATTTTGCTCCAATGCATGCATTCACCAAGCTATCATAAGTGCTACTAGTGACTCCATGACCATCCTCAATCTCCAAAAAATCAAACAGCTCAAGAGCTTCTTGATACCGTCGTTTAAAAACTAATTTCTCTATTTGATCACATAGACCAAAAGAAAATTTATTTTCCTTTGTATGCTTAATGTTGGTCTTTTCTTCAGTATCTTCATGGGGTTTTGAAGGTTTATAATTGGGTTTGGGGCGTAAAGTCTGCTTCACCAAAGAGCACCGTAATGGAGAAAAGGATGTGCTTCGTTTTCTACCGTTAGTCCAATATAATTGAGAACCGGAAAAGAAAAAGGCTTTGGAATCAAAAGCTGATGAAGAAGAACTATCTAGGATCTGTCCTAAGGATATATTCTGATATCGCGACAATGGAAGCTCCATTGCATTCTCTTCACAACCAATTCAATGAGCAAGCAAAAATTTCTGGAGAAATATACTTTTGTCAAAAACTAGCACAATATCATAACTTAAGATTTACCAAATGCAACTCAAAAAATGACTATCACAAGTTCACAACACACTACATTACTCAAGCTACTATCTAATTCGCATTCTACAGAACAAAATCATCATTTCTCAGATTCAAAATTCGTAGAAATTTGCTGATTTATTCGATTTGTACCACGAATTCTCAATCAAATTAGAAGAACACAATGCCAAACCTAAAAAATCTAAATTCAATTGCACAATTAGGTACATTCAATGAAAGTAGTGATAATAAAGAGAAAATAACATAAAATTGAGCATAAATTTCTTTAATTAACTAAAAATCAAAATCAAATCAATATTTTACTAATTAACCTCTTATCTTGTTATAATCTTTCATAACTTGAGTAAATACTACGGAGTATAACAATGATTCAATAATCCAGCTTAGAAGAGCCCTAAATTGATTATACTGAAAATCAAAATTAACGACAGTGTGAAACAAAACCCTAGATTGTGAAATTAATATTCGATAATTCATAAAATCTTACCACAAAAGCTGGTTCAATGGAGGTGAGAAAGCTTAGAAACTGCTTCAATGGAGAATTCAGAGTTGGGCTTCAATGGAGGAGAGAGAGAAAAAGAGAAATAAATTTCTAGTCAGCAGCATCCCAAATCTTCGGTGATTCCTATGCTAACTTTAATTTATTCTCTACTAGTACTTTGGAGGAAATTAGTTGAGCAACCGTTTTGTCTTTCGTATACCCAAAAAAAAAAAAAAAAAAAAAAAAAAAAAATGTATTCCGTATTTTGTTCGTGTTTTAAGTTGCTTTAAGTTGCATCACTTTGCAAATTGCAGACTCTTAAAGAATTTTTTAGAGATGACTGTTATAGAGAGAATAAAAGAATGGACTCGTGGGATAGAAGATAGATTGTGAATTTATTTAACTAATAAGGAAAATAATGCAACAAATTTAAAACTTTATGTTTAAAAAAGTGATACAGCTAAACTTAAAAGAAAGAGGAAGTATGAGTACAATGTATGAGAGTCTACAAGACTACAACTCTACAAGTACTAGTTAATGTAACAAAACATAGCCCATACTCCATATAGGTGAATGATTAATGACAGGCGTATAATATAAATTATAAACCCTTAAATTTCAAAAGATATCAACGATTAGAATTCATTCCTAACATGATCATAAGCATATCACAATTTTCAATTCTTGAACCGAATTTATCAAAGTGCAATATGAACAACCCTAGCAGCCAATTATGATAATAGTTGTGGCTTTGGAGTTAAGTGTGTGTGTTTGGGGTGGGGGGAAGGTCTCCGCCAGCCCCGCGAATGGCGTCACCCCTGGGCCCTGGATGGGAGCATGGAATAACTAAGAAGCATAAGTTCTTGGTGTGGTAGTATAGATGCATGGCAAGTTTGTTGCTTAGAGGTTAGAAGTTGGCTTACCTTAGATATTTAATCCTTACATAAACAAATACTTGCAACAAATTGTTATGATAAGAAGTTTTTGGTAAGAATCATCAATCTTTTGACATTTTCTCGTTATTGTACTAAGTCTTGCTAGTTACTTACTGATGTAACGAATCAAATACGCTCAAGCTATAAAAATGCCAGATCTTGTGCATATACACGAAATCGTTGCAAAAACTGTGTTAACTCATAAGACATATCAATCCATCGTTCTGTCACATACAGCTTACCAGAACTCGTAAAGCTACTGTCATTACCACTTCATTCTGTTTTGAGAATTTGTCAGACCAGATTCTGTTAGAAGGTATGATCGAAGAAACGAGTTTTGTGTCATTAAGGTAATGAAGATGCTCTTGATTTCGGTTCGTGCACAGCTAGTAAGACTGCAGGAGTATGTTGCATTTGCCAGAACACCATATTTAACAATAATTTATCATACAGCTCTTCAATGGTCTTTTCTCTTTTGTGTAGTCTATCTTGCTTAATTATAAAAATAAATAAAATAAAAATCATACATTCTTTCCATCCCAATCCCAAAATCATGTCAATTCAAGAAAATATTTTTTAAATAGAAAAACCATACATCTCTTCCATCTCAATCCCCTAATCATGCCTATTCGAGAAAATAATTTTTTTTTTCATCCCAATCCCTGATCATGGCTATTCATAAAGTAATTTTTTTTTCATAAAAGAAATTATTGAAACCAATTCAGTGTTTTATCTCAAAGGAAGTTAAATTGTTCAAAAACCCACCACCGAAAATAGTAAATACCTTTCTATCTCCATTTCACTATGGATAATTGGATTCAATTTGAAAGTGATCAGGAAAGATTGCTTGATGGTTGTAGGGGTATGGCCGTATGGGATATATGTAAGATTCAATCACTATACAAGGATTATAAAGGAGAACAATTAATACTCTTGATAACAATCATTCATTACATTTGATGCTGTGAAGAACATGATTAGTTTGTTAAAAAAAAAGCCTTGAAGATGCGGACGACGAAACATCTTGCACTAACCTGGAATGAAAAATCTAGAAGAATTTCATAAAATAAGAAAATGCCCAAAAGATATCAGATGACAAGAACAAACTAATGAAACTATGTTATCCAGTTCTCACACAGGAAAAGTCACACATGTACACTGCTGAGAACCAACTTAAGCTACTTAACCTTAGAAATGAGAGTTGGAAAGAATACAGACAACATTGGGAAAAACATATTCTCAGATTTTACATTCAAGCTAACATATTATAGTGCATCAGAACAGAACTTACATGGTCACTGTCAGGAAAGACTCTAAACATTCACTAAACAAGGAACATATTGGAGCCACTTTCTATACAAATTCTAACTACTGCGTTGTCACACTTTTTGCCAAATTTCGAGGTTGATCAACATTAAAGCCTCGTAACACTGTCAGGTGATAAGCTAACAGCTGCAAGGAAGATACAATATAGTGTCAACAAAATTATTAAACATTCTCAAGTTCAATAAGATTGTAACAAACAAAACAATTTCAGAAAACATTTTATCATGATCCTGGCTAGTATGTTTGAACTAGCTATACATTTCAAATACTGTAGAACCACAATTTCCAAAGAAAGCATTCGATGTCAATTACACTATATATATTAATAAGAATGGTATATACACGTGGGATACAAAGATGATAAAACCACACCCTGGGAGAAGGGATGGGCGGAGAGGAGTTGTTGTATAGAGCGGTATTAATTCAAGAAAGTAATGACTTTCAGGCTAGGCAATCCTTATTAAATTATACTCAAATTTCACAACTATTCACTCAAAGTCAAATGATCCATTTACATACCTGTAATGGAATGATGTTGATCACAGGCTGAAGGCAATCTGAAACCTGAGGAACTTCAATTACACGACATGAGCCACCTAGGGAGACAGCTGCTGCATCACCTTTGGAGCACAACACGATCAGACGACCTTTGCGAGCATGAAGTTGCTGGATTACTGACTGTTGCTTGCTGTAGGAAGATATTCGACCAACAGAATATATTATAGAACTTCAGCACCGTAGCACAAAAAGAGAGAGAAGGGGGGGGGGGGAGGGATAGGAATTCAGTTGGTAACCTATCTTTTGAAAAGCTTGAAGACTAACCTGAAGCAAGCATCACGAGTAGCAATCACAACAATAGGAAGGTTTTCGTCAACAAGAGCCAAAGGACCATGCTTCATTTCCCCAGCAAGCATTCCTTCACTGTGCATCAGAGAGACCTCCTTTACTTTCAAAGCACCTTCTAAAGCTGTTGCATAGTTGTAACCTCTTCCAAAAACAAGGAGAGACTGCTCATGAATAAGTAGTTGAGCAAGCTCCTCCATTTCTTGGTCTAGTTGAAGTACCTCTTTTACCCGACCTGCAATACACAAAAAAAACTTTTACACAATAATACATGGTGAACAGGTAGTAAATGTGGTAAAAGAAACAAATCAGGATGGATTCTGCTGATGACAGCACTGACAAGTGATAGGGAAACTTCCCAAAAGACTCACAAAAGAATCATTTTAATAGAGAGAGGAATTATAACGTACTTGGCAATTCATATAAACCTTCGATAATAGCTTCTCTTCTGCCTTGATTAGAGATTGTGTCATCAGCAATAGCTAGAGCTAACATAGCCATCACAGCAATTTGACTTGTATACGCCTGCTCATCATGATAACTTTGGCAATCAGATGCAAAGAAGAAAACAGAGCAACTACTTGCTGAAATCAGATAGTAGAGACATGAAAATACCTTAGTACTTGCCACACCAATTTCAGCACCAGCATTTATATGCACACCACAATGTGTGTTTCTCGCAATTGCACTGCCAACTGTATTTGTTATACCAACACATAGTGCCCCATTTTCTAACGCGTATTCCAGGGCTTGCAAGGTATCGGCAGTTTCACCAGACTGGCTGACAAAGACAGCTGTATCTTCCCTATATATTGGCCCCTGCCTATCAACCAGATCACTAGCAATTTCCATTGTAACAGGAATCCCTGAGAAACAAAGAGGTATGGTCACAGATTGATAAAACAGTTCAGAGGAGTAACTAAATGCACAAAGCACCATATACACAAACCAGAAAGTTCTTCTAAAATGGGCCTTGCGGCTAGAGCGGCATTGTAACTTGTACCACATCCAATAAAAAGGATACGCCTACTTCTCCTGATAGTTTTTAAATGATCTTTGATTCCACCCAACAGTACAGACTTCGCTTTGCAAGAACCTCCACGAATAAGTCTTCCCCTCATTGTTGTTCTCAAGGACTCTGGTTGTTCATGAATCTCTTTTTGCATATAATGTTCATATTTTCCTTTGTTTATTTGTTCAACTTCCATCTCAAGAATGGAAAGCGCCCGTTGCACAGAAGAAGGTCGACAGAGAGTGCCACTACTCTTCCCTTTCTCATTTTCAAATTTGAGAATTGTCACCCCTCCATCCTGAAACAATACATATTTAACTTTATCTTGAACCAATTCACTGAGCCAAAAATTAACCATTGCCAAATAAAAGAATCAATGTTCAATCAAGATTAAGAAATGTTAATGACTTCTTTGTCTACATCCCCTGCCTAGACATACATTATAGAGGTCCAAACTTTGTTCATGAAGCTGAAAGACAGAAAAAATCATTATCTTGGACCTCTTGAAAGTATTTCTTCATTACCAGAGATGTCCTCTAACAACATGCACATTATCTAGACCCTTCAAGGTCCTCTTTCCTTGAGATGTTCATTAGGGCATTTCAAACGGATAATCAAGTTCAAAATTTCAAAATGACCGAGAATTCGAGAAAGCTCTAGCACTAGACACTTAAAGTGGTGAAAACGCATGCTTTCCCTAGTAACTATATAGCACTTGAACATCATATAAAATAACCACAGAATTACCTTTATATGAACTACTTCACCATCCTCAATAACCAAAACCTTCTTTGTGTGCTCAACAAGAGCATTAGGATCACTTGAGATAAAAAGTTCTTTTGGCTGCCCATTCCTCAAAATTTTGAAGTCAGGAAATGATGCTCCAGCACTCACATCTTCTGTTAGTTCCTGAATAAGTGTTAATCGCAGATAATTGTAGCATCAGGAGAAATTATCAAAGAAAATCCACAAATCTACGCAATCACTGATTCTACCTACCAAAAGATAGGCTGAATAACTCCCAACATGATTAAAAGTCCTTATCAAATAAAATAAAATTTATGGGTTCAAATTTGACACTCCACCAACAATGGTTACATACAGAGATTGTTGTGAGAGTAACAATAAACCCCAAACAAATAGCCAGCGACATCGAAAAAAAATGAAGCTGAAGCAAGTATGCATACAAACTTGCAATTGGAAACCTTCACAAAGCAGCAAGAGGGGTTTTTTAAAATACTGATAGAGCAATTTCCATACACCAGAAGAAGTCTGGCACTAATCGTCACTCATGTCAAACTAATTTCCTAGGACACGTAGATATGGAAGACCAAATTTTCAAGTGAAGCCAAAACGTCTATCTGCCAGACAGTAAATATAATATTGCAAGTTGGCAAATGGAAACCATGAAATTCGTTCACAATGCATAGTATCTGTTTGAAACGGTAAAACTTCCAGCACAACTTCCATAATAGAGAAGCAAAGCCTACTACCTTGTATTTATAATTTTATTAATTTTAATAATAAGACTTCTTACTGAATTCAAACTTCAAGATATAAGGTAGAAGATATGATTATAGAGCATGGTGGACTCCGATGTCAAGACAACAAATGACAGGACATTATAAGCAATTCAAAATATAAAACATGAAGCTCATCAAACATCAAACAAGATCATCATCTATTTAAAACTTAAAAGTGGGGAGCTGGGGATGAAAATGCCAGTTTTTTATTGATTAATAAATCAAGGGGAATGGTATCCTTGATTCCCTTAGATTTCCAATCTTCTAACTGGTCTAAATCCTTAATAAATCATACCCTTTTTAGGTAAGTTATACCAAGCCTATAATTCGTAATAAAAAATCTTGGTAGTAGTATTTATTACTTCAAAAAATACTTAAGTGTATGAGTTATATCCTTATATGATCTCTGCGCTCAATTAATTCCCCATGGCATTCTCATGATTTTCTTAGTATCAACGACGACAAAAATCTGCAAAATATTGCAGACACACTTGCCTCTTATACTTACCATAACGCACGATATTGGGAATCTATATGGTCAATTGCTCCATGACATTAACAACACAGAGACATGTGTAGAACTTGGTTAAACATGTGTAGAAATTGGTAAAGTCAAACCGTTAAACACAACAAAATTGCATTTTTAACTTACTTTAACACCAATAAGCAATGGGCCACCACGTTTGCAAGCAATCAACTCATTTGGATAATGTCTGCTTTTAAATATTAGTGCATAAGCACCATCAAGATGCCGCATAACCTCAAGGACAACATCACTGAATGAGATTTTGTTCTCTGCTGCGAAACGAAAAATGGAATATGATAACTTCAAGTCATTAGTTTATTAGAAAAACTTAATGCCTCAAATTTAAGTATATAACTTTTTTTTAAAAATTTAAGGGGATCATAGTCTAAGATTTAAATCATCTATTTACCAGAAACGGGGAAGAAGTGAAAAGGAAGGATGATTAAAAATCACACAATTAAGAGATGCATAGTTTCTAAAAGATATTGATATTTTATGCATGGCCTCCCTGATTTCACCCCATTCTGTTAGCAACATCTCCATGCCCAAAATAATGGAAAAGAAGAAAGTTATGATAAATCAATCCTATGAAGTAAGAACATTCAAATACAATTCATTATCAAGAGTCTCAAATTATAAGGCTGGGAATAACTCTATCATATTGAAATGAAATTAAAACAGTGGCGAGTATAGCATCACCATACCATCATCAACCTAAAAAGAAATAAATACCTTCTCCTTCATTTGCTTTGTCATAAACATACTTAGCAAGCTTCGGTATTACTTCAGTATCAGTATCAGATTCGAATGTAAAACCATGTCGAACTAGAGTTTCTTTCAATACCTAAACATGCAAAGGAAAGCAGTCAGTAAGCATTGGTAACAAGAAGAAACAACTAAACCTACCAAACAGATAGTTACTTTTACACGTTTCTTATAAAATAAAATTAGCTTATATCAATCCCTAACAAGGTCACAAAAAAATAGCCTCTGTAGTAATTATTGTCGACTGTATGGAATTTCCCCGCAAAAAAGATTAAGCTATTGGCATTGTTGATCCATTTTCAGACATTTAAAGGCGGTAAAGAAACTTTAATAAGCTAAATGTTGAGCTTGGCAAAACTTTATGAACATGAGGTGATAGCTTATATAAAGCATGAAGCATATGTAAAACGAAGCATAAAATATTTGCAATTTTAAAATCAATGGTAAAGTACAAAGAGGACCCTTGAGAAAAAATTCAAACAAACCTCATAATTAGTAATAACCCCATTATGAACAACCACAAACTCATTTTCAGGACCAGAGGTCTGTGGATGACTATTTCTTGGTGCAGGCTCGCCATGAGTTGCCCATCGAGTGTGGGCAATTCCAGCATGAACAGAAAATGACTCCTCTAGGTTCAACTCTGTGGCTGCAACCTCTGTAACAAGCAAATCTACTATCAGTTACAAATTTACAATATGCATATTTCATCGAATTATTACATGATCCCGCTCAGCTCATAATTCTTAATGCCCCACACCCTCATCCCCAAACCCCATGAGGCTCTTTAGTCATGAGGTTCTTTCCCACACACAATAAACAACAGCATCAGTAGCCCCGCTATGTTAAAAGTTCACATCCTGACCGGAGTAAGACGTGCATGTTCATTAGTTATTAACACTCCAGTAAAGATGTTGCAAACCGAAACCGGAAGCACCAATAGAAACGCAATGGACTTAATTAATAAGCTTGTAGCATCTATTGTGTACTATTGCATTGTGTAGAATCACATGATTAAAGCAACAATTTCAATATACCCTAATACTTGCATTTTCAGCACCATATAATAAAGCACACTGCACAGAACAGCAGCATATGATCATAACAAGATTCAATTGCTAAAACAACCATCATAATTGTCATACAATAAACTTAAACATTCTAAAAGATCATAAACCACTAAAACCCCAAACAACCCAATTGAATTCATAATTTTATGATCTAAATTCCTGATCATGATCTATAGAATTTTTAAAAAATAAAATCCCATAAAAAAAAAAAAAACGTTACACTAATACTCAAGAGTAGAAACTGATGAAATTCAATCAAACCCAGAAATTCCCACAATTCAAAACACCCAAAACAAATGAAATTCCCAGAAAAATCCTCAAACCCAGAAAAACCCAGAATTCAGAACAGTAGAAAAATGTGAAAAATTTAACCTTGATAGACGGATTTAACGAGGGATTCAATGTTGCCCTCTTGACGAAAAACGAGGGGAGAAGGAGAGAGAGTTGATGAAATGTCAGAAGAAAGAGAAGAATCAATTGAAATCCCGGCGGAATCATAACCTCGATACTCCAAACGCCGTAATCCGTTGAAGAGAACTTCAACAATGTAACGTCTTTCTCTGTTAACATTGAAGTTCAAATATGCAAAGATCCCACACATTATTCTTTGATTTGTTCGTGAATTCCGGTTCTCTTATCAAGGAATTGGTCGGAGATCGAAGGATATTTGTATACAGAGGAGAGAGAAAGGAATGAAGAAGAAGAAGAAGGGATGTCAATTTTGACTTTTTGACTATAATATGAACAGTAATTTCCTGGGAATTTTAACTGATTTTTGAGGTTTATAGATTGGGAAAATTCTAAGGGAATGGAATATGAATTTGGCTTACTAAAAATGTTCAAACTTGGTATGTAGCATGGATATGTAATTGACATGGACCCATGAATTAGACGGTTTAGATTTCATACTCTTTATAGAATTATAGATTTACAGTGATTTAATGATGCGAATCAAGTATTAATAATTTAAGATTCTTGATTTATTTTCTTTAGGATTTATTTTATCGTATTCATATGATTTACTTAGGATAATACTAGAAGAAACTCATGTGCACGATTTGTTTGATTTTTTTTTTTTTTTTTTTTTGTATTTATGAGCTAAAATTTATTATATATTTAGATAAAATTCCTAAAATTAAAAGATAATATTTAATTAATTTAAAATTAAAAATCTCATTGGCCAATTTTGCTTATGTGACATTTGAATTATTTAATTCTAAAAGAAATTAAAATTAAATATAGGTGACAAAGTCCGTGCGATGCACGGTTTGTTTGAATTTTTTAAAACATTTTTTCTTTTATTTATGTGCTAAAATTTGTTACATATTTAAATAAAATTCCTAATATCAAAATATAATATTTTATATTTAATTAAATTAAATTAAAAAATCACATTCGCCAATTTTTCTTACATGGCATTTGAATTATTTAATTCAAAAAGAAAATAATAATCTCTTATTTGATTGGCTACAACTATTTATAGTCTTACGTGGTGCGCTAAGAAAATTAAATTCTACATTGCTCTCTAAAAACTCGGGAAAAAACTCCCCTTTATATATATATATATTAGATAGATTAGATTTATCTTGTTAGAAGATATTGTTAGAGTGTTCGGATTTAATTTTATTTTTTAGATTTGTTTATCCTATAAGGCATGGGATTTTATGCCTATAAATATTTGTTTTATTAATGAGAATAGAGAGATTGATTGAGTTTAAGAAAATATGAAAAATGTGAGTTAGTTCGAGTCAACGTTGCTAAAATTTACGTTGCTTTTCTTCTTGTTTTAGTCGAAAAGATCACATCTTTATTGGATTAGGTTTACCCTAATTGCTAATATCCCTTTCCGTGCTTTGATCCATATCATTTAATAAGTCATGAGTTTCCGACTAATCAAATCTAATCCGAATTTGGGTACTTTTATTACGAAGTACATTGTTAAATCATAAAGGGGAATCGTTTCTGATTAAAATGAGACACGTAAGAGTTTGAGAGGCCTAGAAGGCTAAAAGATCATGGTAAGCAAGGTAAATACATTTAATGATAGTGATATTCTTTTAAATTTATGGTAATATGTCAATTATTCTGAAATGGCCAAATATCTGAAATTGAGTGGACGTATGAAAAGCACCCCCTAATCAAATTGCAAAAGTTTCAAATTCAAGTCTTATCCGCATGGTGTTGTGGCTATTGCGGATCTTGATGTAACTTGATTTAATTAATATTATTGCCCATCCGTTTTATTCAAAAAAAAAAAAAAAAAATCAAGTCTTATCCAGTAGTGTAATTAGTGTACATTGAACAATTAATATGGCCGGTCATAAATAAATTTTAGCTTTTCTTAGCTTAATGGAATTATGGGTAAGACTTTGAACAAGAGTAAATTATGAAATTGCTCATTTTGACTTATACTCAAAAATTTTCACCATCTTCATTATTAACTTTGAATTTTTATTTTGACATATACTCATACTTCAATTTCCCATTCTCAAAAAATTATCACATTAATTGTAAATTGAATAATGATTCAAACTATTAACGTGAAAAACTAGTATTGCAACAACTAAATCTAAATCCAGATATGATTTTAAAAAAATCTAAACTGAGATATTGTAGTAAATTGATAGAAACAGAAACAACACGATCAAGGTGGTGGATGGATGATGAATTTGATGATCTTGTTTGTTTTTCAAGATAAGAGTCAGGAAATAATTGATGACCATATATTGTTATAGTATTAGTGGAGCAATACACGAGTATAATACTTCACTATCCTGTGGTACTTAACAATTAATAAGATAAATAATGCTAGTGCATGAAATCATGCATCATGTGAACTTGAATTGTTTATTTAGCTTTTGGTTGGTTAAGTTTCGCCATTCCATGTGATCTCTGCCCTAAATCAAGTACTTAATATATCATGATTAAATTAAACCACTCTGATTCATATGATCAATAAAACTAATTTAATCCAAAACTTAGGATTATTGACCATACCGGCCGGATAACCGGCCACTTTTTAACTTAGCTCATAAAACTACGAAGTATAAGGTCTGAAGACTGAAGTGAACTGAACTTTTTATGAGTGAAGGAAATTGGAAACTGAACTGAACTGAAAATAAGCTGAAGAAAATAGACCATAAAAGCTATAAAATATGAGATAATCTTAGTAGGATGGATCTACATATACTAGTAATATGTTCTCGTAGCAACTAGCAAGTACAATTATATCTTATATGGCACTAAAACATTACTTATCTAAATAATAAAATAATACCATTGATCAATATAATGTAAATGGTATAACATGAACTTGAATTTTTGTAGCTGGAACTTGAAAATTTCTAGCTAAAAGACTAAAAAGAGTCATAAACCGAGGGAGTTGACCTATTCAACCGAGTATTATTTTTATAACTTGTTAGCCAAGTTAAGCCTAGAATTTTAAAAATTGACTAGCTTAATTAAATATAAGCTATTGTGATTTAAACATATAGTTTAAGCAGTCAAATTCGCATCATAAACAATACAATAACTCGAGCTTAAGTCATCATCAGTTATCGTATAACTTATCCAAATTTCAATTATATATTAAAACGAAATGGGTAGGAAAAATGATAATACCTTCATAAACGGATTTAACGAGTGCATCAACATTGCCTTGATTGCGAAAAACTAATGGGAAAGGATTAAGACAAGAACTTATTAATATGCCTCCATTTTTATTAGAATTATAATGTTGAAGAGATGAAGAAGAATCAAAGGAAAGGCCAGCTGAATCATAACCACGATATTCCAAACGACGCAGAGCATTCAAAAGAAGTTGAAGAATGTAAGACCTCTTCCTTAGGGATGTCAATGGGGCGGGTCAAGTAGGAGACCCACCCCATCTCCGCCCCAATGGGGCGGGGATGGGTCTCGGTTTGGCGGGTGGTGGGGTGGGAATGGGGATAAAAACCATACTCGCCATGGGTAATGGGGCGGGGGTGGATTTTAAGTTGTACCCGCCCCATCCCCGCCCTGCCCCACCCGCCCCACTTCGTACCCGCCCCATCCCCACCTCATACCCACATCTATATATCTTTTAAAACAAAATTACATACTTATATTCTATTTATAAAATAATTACATGAAATACAATATTAATTATAATACTTTGTACGACACTTATATTATAACACAAAAATGTGTATAAAATGTTTTATGTATAATTCGTATTAATTATGTAAGATTGTGTATTTTGAGATACGGATATTAGGTGGATTTTGGGTGGGGATTAGGCGGGTCTTTGGTGGGGGTTAGGTGGGGATGGATATCCAAGTGGGGGTGGGGCAGGGATGGTTTTGGAGTTGTACCCGGTGAGGCGGGGATGAGGATGAAAATTGAACCCGCCGCGGGAATGGGGATGAAAATATTAGGTGGGGATGGGAAGGCTAACATCTGCCCTGCCCCGCCCCATTGACATCCCTACTCTTCCTATTAACATTGTAGTTTATGTACCCAAATATCCCACACATTTTTTATTTATTTATTTTTTTATCTTAATTTCTCTCTTTAGTTTTGTATCAACTTTATTTTGGGATTTGGGTTTTGGGGTTAAGTCGGATTTGACTACTTATATAGAGAGGAAATGATTAAATAATGAATTTTATTTTATTATTATTTTATATTCGATAATATATTATACAAGTAGTTTTATATGAAAATCATTGACTTTTATGTATAACAAGTCAATACATTTGCATATAAAATATATAATAAGAAGAAGTTGTATGTAGTATGATGTTTAAAAATAATTAAATACATACTGAATACAAATCTACTACTCGTACTCCGTTGTTTACTCCGTATTAACTATATGACTTGTGAATTGACATTATGGTGTTGGTGTTAATACGAAGTATTTCATATAATGGTAGGCGTAGCAAGTACTTGTATGCAATTATGAATATGTCAACAATAAAAAATAAAAATAAAAAAAATTATGAATACTATTACTCTGTATAAAGAAACCGTTTGTTAGGGAGTTTTAATTTATTTTAAATTGTTTGTAAACACATGTGTTGTTGACCTGGGTAGAACACCAAAAAAAAAAAATGTGTTGATGACCTGATGTGCATACAAACAAAAAAAAAAAAAAAAGGTTTATATAATGTCTTAAATATGTTCATATGAGTAAACACATGTTCATATATTGTCTCACCAAAAAAAAAAGTGTTCATATTGTTTGATGGAAATTTGCATTATTGATGAAAAAGTAACAAAATTATTATTACTTTAATTTTGCTGAAAACTTAAGCTCATTAGTTGTCATATTATATTTATAAGGTGTAAACTACACTATAGTGTGGTCCACTAAATCAAGCTTTCCCACTCAAATTTATCCTACACACATTATTAAAAGAAACGTTGTCATATTGAAGTATCAATAATATGATTTTCAATTGAAACAAATCAAACAATTAGTTTATTGTCAATGATCTTGTGAAAAAAAAAAATAAATAAATAAAAAATTTGTCAATGTTAATATCCTTTTCTCTACCTTATAAAAAGCTTTTAAAAAAAACTCGCTTGGATATTTATCTCACTTTATAAAAAGTTTTTAAAAAAACTCTTATGAATAGTGCGTGAACATTTATATCCCTAAAAACGTTCTTTTACATATTTACTCCCTTTGAATTCAAACGACTTAAAATTGTCTTTTGAATCATAAAAATTGATTAATTAGCTGTATTTATTTAAATATATATCTATCTAAACCATTTTTAAAATTCTCCATTTTTGTAGAATTACGGAAACACACGGCTTAACCTTCATTAATCGGGGTAAAACATATATATACAACTCTTATTC